TGTGAAAGATATGGATTTGCCTGTTTTTTCAATCGAGAAGCCAGAATCAAAATCAGATGAGGAATGGAAACGTGATCACCGACAAGTTTGTGGCTTTATTAGACAATATGTTGGTGATAATGTTTATGGTCTCATTGCAAATGAAACACATGCTAGGTCACTTTGGGAGAAACTCGAGTCCATGTATGCATCCAAATCTGGTAATAACAAGCTGTACTTGTTGAAGTCCTTGATGAACTTGTCTTATAAAGAAACAACTCCTTTGTTGGATCACTTGAATGCATTTCATGGTATTTTAGATCAGTTATCTGGTGTTGGTATAAAGCTTGAGGATGAACTAGCTGCTCTTTGGTTGCTAAACACTTTACCTGAGTCTTGGGAGATATTTAGGGTCTCAATTATCAATTATGCCCCGGATGGTATTGTATCCATGCAAACTGTTAAACCAACTATGCTTAATGAGGAGATGAGAAGGAAGATGCAAGGTTCTTCGTCTCAATCAGAGGTGTTAGTTACAGAACATAGGGGGAGGAATGCTAACCGAGATCAAAGAGGCAGAGGGAAATCCAGAAGCAAGTCCAAGTCCAGATATAAGAATGTTGAGTGTCATTATTGTCACAATACAGGACACATCAAGAAAAATTGCTTCAAGTGGAAAAGAGATAACAAGGCTAAAGGCAAGAATGAGAAAAAGGATGAAGGTGGTGACCGTGTTTCTACTGCTGATCTTGTTGATGATTTGATCTTTGTCACCGATGCAGATGTGGTTAATGCAGTGTCAGATGACCAGAGCTGGGTTATTGATAGTGGTGCTACGTTGCATGTGACTCCAAGGAAGGAATTCTTCACATCCTTAAAGTCTGGCAGTTTTGGCAAATTGAAAATGGGCAACGATGCAGTTGCAGAGGTTGTTGGTATTGGAGATGTCTGCTTAGAGACTCAGATGGGTACTAAGTTGCTCCTAAAAGATGTTAGGTATGCTCCCGATGTCCGCTTGAATCTTATTTCTGTTCATAGACTTGATGATGAAGGTTATGAAAACCATTTTGGTGGTGGAAAATGGAAGCTTAAAAAGGGAAATCTGGTAGTGGCTCGTGGCAAAAAGGAGTCCAAACTGTATCGATTGGAAAGTGTACTCTCTGGTGATGTGAATGCTATAGAAAGTTCAAAAGCATCACATTTGTGGCATCGTAGGCTCAGTCATATTAGTGAGAAGGGGCTGAATCTTTTGGCTAAGAAAGATGTACTGCCTGGTTTGAAGAATGCAGAGTTGGAGAAGTGTTATCACTGCTTGGCAGGAAAACAGACCAGAATATCCTTCAAGAAGCATTCTTCTTCG